GGCTAAGTGTACGTGGGAGCATGAAGTAGAGTTGGAGCAATATGGGGACGTGGTACTTAAATATTGGAATGAGCAGCCGGAACAATCGGCCGGAGGGAACATAAGGTATCGGAGGTACCATAGTTAGGGTGCAAAACGGATGATTGCTAGCAGGAAGGGAGAAAGACACGTGCAGAAAGATTACAAACTTTATTATGACATACGGGGTAGGCCGAGTCTTCGAAGTAAGGCGATGATTGTTGCCTATTTATAATTTTAGACTGCAAGGGCGGGTTGGCAGTTTGCGAAGGTAATGCAGGTGACTTCGGATCCGAGGTGGGAAGAAGGCATCAAGCATACGATCAAGCTGGTGGACATCGGCAAAATCATCAATGTGGCGCTTCTGGAGAAGAATCTAACGACGGACAACCTGGTACAAAATCCAGGAACGTGGTGCTGGCATGCACACCGAGCGGCGAAAAGTGTCAAGAAGAACATGTTTGAGTTGGAAGATGGTTTGGTGTTTGAATTTGAGGTGCGTGCAACTGCGGGAAAGTGTGCCAAGTGGTGCAGTCGAATACAGGTCAAAATTTATGCGGTGTTTTTGAAGTGCGTAGGACTGCAGAAAAGTGTGCCAAGTGGTGCAGTCGAATACGGGTCAAAATTTATGTGGTGTTTTTGAAGCACGTAGGACTGCGGAAAAGTGTGCCAAGTGGTGCAGTCGAATACGGGTCAAAATTAATGTGGTGTTTATGACGTGCGTAGGACTGCGGAAAAGTGTGCCAAGTGGTGCAGTCGAATACGGGTCAAAAATTCATGTTGTGCTGAGCGATTCCTGTTTTGGCTAAAGAATGTACCTTGTGATGGAGTCATATTGCATTGGTACCACGGTCTTGACGGAATTGGAGTGTGTGTGTGTATTGCATGCGTTGATTTCTGGTGATCAATGTTCGGACTTGCTGCAAGGGAATGGCATTGGTTGTAGGTCAGGTATTGCACGTTGTGGTCAAGTGTTAATTCAAACGAGACTGATCGCAGATAAGTATGCGTTGAACCTGGGGGGGGCGAATGTCTTGCAATAAGTCAACCCTAGGTTAGGTCAGGGTAAGAAGACTTGGGGTAGGGTAATCGCAGGATAATAAATGTTGGTTGAGGCGTGATGGAATGGACTTGGAAATTATGGCTTTTGGGAGCAGGGTTGGAGTAAGTTCTGGTTGAGATATCGTCAAATAAGGTCATGAAAAGTGTATGAGCTGGAGATTAGGATTGCGGAGGTGTGGGTTTATGGTTAGGATGATGAGCTTAGGGGGGAATTGCAGTTATTGGAGAGAAAGTGAGAGAGAGTTGGAGAGAAAGTGAAGCGGCGCAATTGGATAGATACAGAGCAAGCGGCGCAATTAGCTCGCTTCAGCTGATGTCGCGTACCCCCTTTTTCAGTGTTCGATTTCCCTGCTGTTCCCGGCCCACGAAGGCCTAAGAAACACACCTTGATCGCAAGCAACTTCGAGACGCGCAAACCCACGACCCCACTGGCACATCTACACGCATATCTACGTGCGATAGGCCACCGCCGGCCGATTCCACGTCATTGCGCGGCATGGGAGGGTGAGAGAGGCGCGCAAGCACGAAGCATACACACACGCCAGCACTCGAGGGAAGGCGCAACCGTGCGATCGATGGACGGACGAATTTGTCACTAGCAGCGATGTGCCTGCTGTTTGTTTCACCAACATCGCAAGTTGCGTAAGTTAAGAAGTTGCTGTTTATTTTTTTGGCGCGGGGGGGTCGGTCAAGTAGTGAGTAGGTTGATGGAGCTACGGCAGGGTAGTACGCGCCTTTACGGGTGGATTGCAAAATGATGTGATTTTTTTTTGTGGCACTCAGCCAGGATGTGTTGTTGAAGGAAAATATGCACCATCTTGATGAAAAATGATAACCATGTTGTGAAGGTTTTTCAAGTTGAAGATGGTTTGGAAGCAGCTTCATGGTGAACATCTTAAGTTGGATTCGTGTGTGACACCCAACCAAAGCTACATGCAAAATCTGATGCGTGCTGTCACCCAACCAAGGCTTTCAGAAAAATTGCCAACATATTGATCATTGTTCGAGGATTTCAAGGATTCAATCCCTGACTCTGGCATCGTCAAAGTGACTCTGGCATCGTCATGGTGAAGCCAAATCGCGTAAAAGCGAGCCTCCGGCGGGGCGCCTCCAGCGGGGCCCTCCGGGGGCGCCTCCGGCGGGGCCCCCTCACCAGCCGGGGGGGGGGCGGTGGTGGCGACTGCGCCGCGTGGCCAGTGTACTGACAATCAATGCCAAGTAGACTGGCTGCGTGCCGCAGCCAGTTCTTCTTGACTGGCGCTGCGCGCCAATGCCCCACCCTACAGGTTGGAAAGTCAGACGAAAACTGGGAGTAGAGGGTGCACAAGGACGAGAGTCTCACCTGGCTCCACCGGCGAACGATTTCTCTGGCCCTGCGCGTCCCCTCCACGCTTTCCGAGAACGCCTTGCCCATCGCCCGCAACTCCCTTGACATCACCTTCTTGTCGTAGAGACAAATTCGACAGGTATCATGACACCGAAACGCACGGGGTTTGCAAAGGACTACTGTGTTCATTCTACGCGACTGGTCTCGGAGCGAAATCTTGAGTCTAGCAACGGCGGGGGCAAATCGGAAAAATCATACGGCCAACCATGCCCACTGATGACATACCCGTAGCGTTATTGCGCGTACGTTTCGTTTGCAACAATGAAACATGGATCAGGGTGAGGTGTGCTGTGCGTGAAAGTTTCTCTGGGACACGTTTCACCGTCTTGGGTCAGAAGCTGTCACATGTGAATCGCGTTGGCGATAATTGTAATTCGGGTGAAAAAACATGAATCGCGCTACTTACAGTACTTCGCCTCTGCCAGCAATTATTGATATTGTTTTCAAGTTGACGTTGCGTATCTTCTTTCCTACTCGTCGAGACAAAAGCAATCGAGGTTCTGCCGTGGTCACAAGCTGACCTGGGTGCGGTCGAACAGAAACAAAAAATATGACCCGAGAGTGAGTACTATTATTGGCCAGACGCCGCCACGGGTCCTCGACCAGCAGAGCTCCAACGAACACAATGGCAAGGAACAGAGGAGACGGTCGCTGCAGTCTCTCGGAAGCAGGAACCTCGGAGGTTGCGTCTAGACTCGGCGGAAGGAATAATATAACGAACGACCGCAGGACACTGCACGCGCATCACCAACGCACCTCAGGGGTCATGATCTCGAATCGACGGACGCACTCCAGAAGCTGTTCGAGCGTCAGGGCTTGAGACCGCCCTGCCAGGGCGCTCTGGAACTCCCTGAAAGACCGGTCGACCCCAAGTGGATTGAGCACATGGACGTTGACTGCGTCTGCCCTCTATCCAAAGATCAACATGGAATTGAAGGCGGCAATAGTCTACAATGGCAATGAATGCGTAACTAACTGTGTTGTTATTTGTTGTCCCCATCAGTCCTAGGCGCCAGCCTCTACCTTTAGGGAAAAGCGAACGGGTCAAGAGCCGACAGCTAGGTCCAGTAAACTAAAAGCATACCTGCAGAGGTGAGGACCAAACCCACAAGCACTTTTACTTCCTCCACCACTACCGTAAAATAGTGAGAGACTAGAACTTAGACAAACGCGAGAACGGAGTGATGCGACCGAATTTGATGAACCCGATGAATGACGGCTTGAGCGTACCTCCAAAATGATCCGCACACACCGAACTGAAACACATCAGCTACCCCAATCGATTATTCACCTCTCCATTGGAATCAAACGCATCCATGAATTGATGCGCTCCTTCACATCACGGCGGATGGATCCAAGTTCTCTATATGGGGAACCTCAATGTAGTGAAAGCTAACGTGCAGGCTTGCCGTTCCCACTTGAAAAAATGACAACATGTCACTAATGACACAAGGGTTATCCACTTTCTTTTTGCGGAGATTGTTTTGGAGGGAGAATACGAAGTGACCACACACCCCAAACAAGATAGAACGATCCTTCATTATTCCAGACCATGCTGATTCGAATACAGTGGCGGCTACGGTTTAAGAGAGGGTCGGGACAAGCCAACATATCTCGTTTGTAATCGGTTTTCTCGTAAACGGTACTGTGTTCTTCATGGTCATGACAAGTCAGTTTGACACTCGTAAATCGGTACTTTCCCTTAAATACTCTCTCTTAAACCGTAGCCGCCACTATACGTGAAGAGGCGCCGTGTCATGTAGGGTGATGTACATGCCGTCCCGTTCACCGACGACCCACGGTTTCCAGCCAAAAAAGCATCATACATGACAAGTTCGGTCTCCACCCTCCCTCAGCCCCAGCCTCACCGTTTCCGCTCTCGCTCCCTCTCGGCACGCTCCTCCCGGATCCTCATTCCCCAGGCGGCAAACACCGACAGCGCCGCCGCATCGTCTTCGTCGCCCTCGACCACCCCCCCCTCACCAGTCGCCGCCCCTCCCCCTCCTCCTCCTCCTCTTCCTCCTCCTCCTTCCCTCTCCTCTTCCAAACCCTCGCTGTCCTCGCACCCTTCCTCCTGACCGGTGGGGTTGCAGCGGAACCTCCTCCGGCGCTGGTCGCACCTCGCCTGCCTCGACATAGACTCGCACCGCAGGCGCAGGAGGTACCGGCGCAGGCCCCAGGCCGGGATTTCTGGCTCCCCGCGGGAGCTGTTCCTTTGCGGCGGCGACGACTGCATGCGCGAGGGTGCTGGTGGTGTCGACCTCCACCGCGTTGTCGGTGACAGCACCGGGTGCGCTTGCCCGTTTCGTCGGGACGATAACGATGGCGCTCTCTTGCCACCTCCGCCGTCACCGCGGGCGGCAGTTCGCCCCCGCGCCTCCTGCGGGCGCCGCCGCCGCCGGTTGTCACCATTTTCCCGCTGCTGGCATTGCTGTTGTTGGCGTTGCGGGCTGTTGCGTTGGAGGCTTGCCCGGCCACCGCCACGGCGGCTGAGACGGTCGACGCTCCTGGGCCGGCCGTTCTTGGTGCCCTTCCTTGATCCACTGCTGCCGCTGCTGAGGCTACTGCCTAACCTCGCGCTCCCCCCACCCGCGTTGTTGTTGGGTCTTCGCCCTGCACGAGGCCGTCCGGTCCCGTCGTCGCCAATGGCTCCGCCGCTGAAGCGGTGCAAGGGGCCACAGGCGCGAGTCGCTAGCGCAATAGCCTGGGTGGAAAAAAGTTGGAGAATGGTGGTGGACACGGGAGTAGTATCGATCACTACGGCGCACGAATGGGTGTTGCTGCTTAGGTCGGAGCACGCCGGGGTCTCACGACAAGGCGGGTATTGCGCCAGGCAGCACAAGTACCGAGAGGGCAATCAGCGAGTCGCACAGAAGGGGGTGTTACACAGAAAAAGCACCAGCTATTTCAGCAGAGACCGGCAAGAAGAGCGTGCTAGACCAGTAGACTCTCTCGATCGAGACAAATAGTCTCTGGGGCCTAGAGAACGGTCAGTCGAGCGACTGGGCCAAACCACCAATGCCATGCGAAAATCAACACTAGCGAGAAGAAAAACATGCTGCGTCGTAACCATGAAGAAAGAGCATCTCACCCTAGTCCGGCTGAGGTGGAGGCCGACCTCCGCAAGGCCTTTCCGAAACGCCTCGAGGGGGACGGATGAAACCCTCAGAGACGCTTTCCAGTCGGCGAGCGCTGTCCCTTGGCTGGAACCCACGGCGGGCTGCTTGAGCCCCAGGGACGCCTGGCGGGGGCAACAGTAAGGGGACGGATGGCACCAATATCAATCCAAGCGTGTGCTCCATGGTACTCGACGTAGCTGTTTTACGAATATGCAGCGTTGTGCCGCTACAATTTCGTCAGAAAACGAATCCTCGTCCCTTGCCCCCCCGATGCTCTCATGCCATTTGTTGAGCGCGTCGCTTGCGGGGATGAACGTTAGCGTTCAAGCTACATAGATACTTTTGACTGCCAATAACCAGCATCAATGGCCAAAACCTGCACCGAAACACTCTTGGTCTTTACCAGCACCCGACCGTATAGATCTGCCTGGTGCGCTACCCTCCGCAAGGCGGTCTCATCCGCCTCCGCCTCCGCCACCACTCTAGCCTTTGCCGCCGCCTCGCCCCCCCGGGTGTCACAATCGTGCCCTTCCGGCGCACCCGGGCCTGCCTTTTCGACGGTATCAGCTGCCACGTCTTGACCGACGCTTTCCTGGGGATCGCTGTCACGCGGCGGGGGGGGTTCTGGGCATGCCGCCGCTGGAGACAACGATGTTGTTGAGGGGATGCCGCAGAGATCGAGGAGCCTTCCGACGTCTATCACGGAGCAGCCGTTGTTGCCCTCGCTGCTGCTGCTGCGGGCTCCGCTTCTCCCCGGGGTAGCCGACGCTGCCGCCACCGCGGCCTCGATTACCCGTGGCGCTATGGCTGTGTCGATCTCGTGCCGTTCATCCTCCGAAAGGCCGGCCTGTTCGATCACGTTGTGTCATGGCTGGTTGGCAATTACGTAACGAAGAAAATTGGTTTCGGTTGCGTTCTTCACACCAAACTTGCGGCAATAAAACCCTAACACGTTGACCGCGCAAAGTTGGTCGTCCGTCGTCCTGGGCAGCATGGGGTTGGACTAGACCAATCGTCGAGGGGCTATGTCTCGGGAGGTGGCGTGAACCTTGAGCACCCAGCCCGAGTTAGAAATACCAATAGGACGGCAGGAGGAACAGGAAAAACACAGAGTTCTCATCGGGATTTTTCCCGGCGTTCTTTATCCACCCTGGTGGGCGGTCACGGTACTGACGGTAGTCTCCGGCATTTGTGGTATTGCCGGGTATATCCGAAAATCGAACGCCGCTTTGCAATACCGCCGCGTCTGTGTCCGCCAACACAAGCACCGGTGCCATGGAAAACGCCTTCCGCTGGCTCATCTCCTTCTTCGACCTACGGCATGATTTGGCCAAGCCACCAGAGCGTACCTTTAAGCCTTCCCCCAACCCGGCTAGCACGAGCTCGAACTGGACCCTCGTCAGCAAGGTGGCTACTGCAGCGGCAACGGAACGAAGGAAAGGGCGGGGGTTATCAATGGTGGCGCAGCAGCAGCAGCGGGGTAAATCCGTAGTAGCGAGAGCAACACAAAAAACATACAAGAACGCCATGAATAACAATCACCGACAACCCAACAGTAGAATATGGACGGACCTTTTTCGCCCGCCTGCCCTTCGTCCTCCGTCTCTCCGTCGCCACCACCACCGAGGTCGAACCACTTTCGGAGGTCGATCCCCCGCTGGGTGGACGCGTACAGCAACACCGCACGCAGGTGCAGCGGCACTTCCGCCCGCCGCACACCGCCGCCGCCGTCGCCATTGCCAACATTCGCCGCGCCCTCTCCTCCGCCCCCCCGCCTCGCAGCCCCCCGCCCCGCCACCGCGACAGCGGCCGTCACCTCCGTCGCCACCGCTGAGGCCGCCTCTGCCTCCTTTGCCCCCGCCGCGCGGCAGTTCATCACGGGGGCAGGAATAGCCGGATTCCCAATCCGAGAAGGGTTCCAGCCTACCCTCGGCGTAGGCTTGTCCACTGCCGCCCCCGATGTTGCTGGCTCTGGTGCCGTGGGTGGTGCCGCCGTGGTACCGTTCACTGCCAGCGGGGCGGGCACTGCCGGGTTTCCCACACGAGAGGCGTTCCATCCAACCCTCGGCTTAGTCGCCGGGTCCGTCGCCACCCCAGGGGTAGCAGAAGCAGAAGAAGAAGGGGGAGGAAGAGCACGAACGTGTGGGCCGCCGTTGGCCTCTGCTGTGCTGTCCGGAGTGACAACGGAGCCGCCGGCGTTGGGGGCGGCCGGGGCAGAAGTGGAAGCGCCCGCGCCGGCGGCTTGGGTCGACCTCGCCGTCGATTTCGACGCCCGTGTTGGGTCCCAGCCTATTTTTTGACGCGGCTGCTGCTGCTGCTGCGATTTAGACGCCCGTGTTGGGTCCCAGCCTATCTTTTGGCGCGGTTCTTGCTGCTGCACCTTAGGCTGCTGATGTTGCTGTTGCGCAGACGGTTGCTTCTCTCCTCCCTCCCCGGCTAAGGAAGTAGGACGGAGCAGCGCTCGGGGTGGCCCTTCCACCCGGAGAGTCTCCGTCGGGTCACCCCCACATCCAGCAGCGCCGCCACGCGAGGAACTCCAGCCTACCTTTCCTCCGCCGGCTTCAAATTCGGCTTCCACTTTTTGCTGCGGTGACAACGAAGCAGCGTCTCCTCCGCCGCCTCCGGCGGCCGCGGGTTTCCCCGTCGCTGTCGCTACTGTCGCCGCCGCCGCCGCCGTTGCAGTTACTCGAGAGGGGTACCAGCCTACTTTTCCGGCGCTACCGGCGTTGTCCCGTTCACTCGCGCCCGCGTTTCCGACCCGTGCCGCTGCTGCCGTTGCTGTCGCCGCTCGAGACGGGCTCCAGCCGATCTTTCCGACGCTAGCGGCACCCCCTTCACTCGCGTTCCCCCCCGCCAGGGTAGAAACTCCTCGAGGAGGGGCAGCACTGCTAGTTTCCTGCCCCGCCTTCCGGGAAGCCGCCGCTGCTTCCGCCTCGGCAACAGCAGTAGGGGGAGAGGACCCTGAACCTCCCCCCGCAACGGCGGCGTCGGAGGCGGTGTCAGAAGAGGGGGCTCTTGCAACAACGCCCGCCGCGTGCTGCGCCGCCTGCACGGCAGCCTCCGCCTCGGTCGCGCTCGTAGCCAAGGAGAAGGCCATCGTAGTCGTCGTTGTCGCCGACGATCCTTCCGAGGTCTCGCCCGTGCGACCGCCGGTTCGTTTGCTGGGAAGGGGCACAGAACCGGGCGCCGTTACCGGGATGACCACCTCGGAGTTGTCGTTCAGGGGACGCCAAGGTTCGCCCCCTTGTTCCCCTTAGGTCGAATGGAGGAGGATTGTGGGTGGGGGCGAGAAATGTCGGTGAAAAGGAAGAACGGGAGTCGAGGACGTTCGGGGTTGCGCCGCAACAGCGACCCAATGGTTTCGAAGCACGTGTGAAGACGAGAACACTTCGGAGTTGCACCGCAAACGCGGAGGCATGTTCGATTCACGTGTGAAGAGGCCGGGAGGCCAAGGGTGGGTTAGACGCCAGCCAGTGTTGTTCACCAAGGGTGTGGGGTGCTGTGTGATTCAGGAAAATCTCGTTGTGGAAGGGTGTTGCAGAAATAGAGCCCAAGCGGTTCAGCCCTGCTGCCACCGAGCGAAGGGGCGGCGCGAGCATCAGGGGACAACTAACACCGTCCATTTAGTCCCGCAAATTCCTACAGCTAGGACAAGGATAGATCAACAGCAACAACCGACGATAGCAACAACCAACGTCGTCACGGGTGACCCTCAGACCTTTGTCGAGGAGGCGCCAGTTGTCGCCGGTCTTAGCCTCGTCGTTGAAGTCGTACACACCGAACCACAGGTTGGGTGTCGTTAGGCCAGCTTCTCGCAGGTGCTGCCACGCCACGAGAAGAGGCAAGGGATAGGGGGGAGAGAACCGCTCGAATGCCCGTCTGGGCGCACGAAGCGATGCACGAATTGTCAAAAAAAAAAAAAACTATTCGATCTCGACGACGGGAAAACACTTCGGGGCAGAAAGCACCCAAAGTTCCGCGGGATTCTCGAGCTACTGGAGAACACAGGAAGAGATTAAATTACTCGAGAATACTGTATGCATACGTGAGGAAAAACCCTTGGCATCACCCAATCTGTTGTGCCGTGGAAAGATATTTTTGTTGTCTAAGATGATATCCGCTCCCAGGAGTCTTCGCACGCCAGTCGGACGGAGCTCTCGCCGGGTATGCGGAGGAGGAGGCCACCTTCCGTGCCCCCTTCGATCCCCAAGGGTGGCTTGTTTTCCAAAGTTGAAGCATATCCCGTTTTTCTCTCTGTGAGGAGATACACCCGATCTAGGTCAAGGACAATCTTCATCAAGCAAACTACGAGCTATTGTAATCAAGGAGTTTTCCATCCAATAAAGCGACAATGGCCAAACATTTCGAGTCCTCTCAAATGCCTACGCGTCCTCAAACGGAGTTGATCCAATAGCGTTCTTCCAGAATTTCACATTTTTGCATTTTTTGAGGGGGTGTTGATATCGTTCGGGTGGACTACATACACTATGATCGTGGTCCGCCCGATACTCTGTTCGTCGTATTCCCTCGTATCCACCGTACTTACCGCCCAAGCCCCCCCCCCGCTCCCCCTTCCCGCAGTGGGAAGCCCTCAGCCCCCAAACAACCAGCCATAACATACACCGCAAGCAGGAAAGAAATTAAACGAAACAGCGCCATCTATTTCCCCTCCCCACTTCAACGACGACAAACCTCGGCGTGTCCAACGTACGCCCCGTTGAAGGGCGCGAACGTCATCCCGTGGGAGGTCTCGATGATGGGCTCGGTCTTGCAGTACAGCCTGAACTCGCAGTCCTCGCAGTCGCGGGTCCTGAGCTGCTTGCAAGCCACCGTGAAGACGCAGCCGGTGCAGTTGCGGACGAACACCGAGTCCACGCAGGCGGCGATGAACACCCTGTGTTGCAGGAGAAGAACCAACCGCGGTAAACACGCGGCACAAAGTTTCAAACAGGATGTAGGTTACGCCGGGAGCTTTGCGTACCACTGCGTGCACAACAGCGGAGCTGAACCTGCATGACCAGTACGGCTGAAGTATTGCTGAAAAGTCGAGCAGCCGAAAAAAAAATGCTGTAGACCGATGAGGACTGCTAGTGCTGTGGCAGATGCTTCGATGCTTCGTTTTGCCGGCCAGCGGCCGCTTGCTAGTGGTGATTCCACAACAAGGATAACACCTTTGTCTTTCAAGGTATTCAAATGATGCAGGCGTGTCAACGGCGCTTGTAGCACGTGTTAAAACACCGAAGATTGTTTCAGATATGGATGCAATGACGAGAAAGAACCGTAAGATTGTTCGTAAAGGCGAATTGGCGTCAAGAAGGGACACGCATACCCCGAAGACTCGAAATATGGCATAGAAAGAAAATACATGGGGTGTTCGTGCTTCGCCTGCCACCCGACAAAGGTCGACCTTCAGAAACGGGAACGCCATACACACGAAAGAAAGAGAGGTTTTCAGTCACGCAAAAAAGTTGTGCACCCGCTGAAGAGCGCTGCTTGACGAGGACTGCAGCGGCCAAGATTTGGCGATACCGGGCACAATACCGTTGAAAGCACCTGATGTATCTCCCATGAAATAAAACGTATGAACTATTCACCTTCCCTCGACGGGGGTGGGGGGCGTCTGTACCTGAACCACAGGCTTTGGGGCGGTTCTGGGAGTGCGTTGCTGGAGCCACACAGAGAGGCACCAACATTGGGTTCTATTGGCCGTGGTGGGATCAAGCGTTGAAAAACGAAAGCGGAGGCATCTTGTTCTCCATGTGGTACCTGTGGCTGATCCAATAAAAAAGATTAAGTCAATGGTTGGTACTCTTTCGCAAACCTCCGATCCTCAACTTCTTGTGAATACTCGGTATGAGAGGGCCGGCGCACTGTATTCTCATGTACACCGCACGTAGGCTCTTGTTATGCACATGCAACGACATAGACTTGTACAGTATGGTGAGTGGACATTCAGCGACCCAGAACCCGCGCGGCCGCCGCAATGTCGTCACTCGACGTACACGCCTGTAGAACCGTACAACACGGTGTGGCTACAACTCGTTTGGTGGTGTACTACTACTGCTGGGCAACTTACCGTGCACCATGGGTACGGCGTCGGTGCAGCTTCAAGGACAGAAAAACAAGCCGGGGTGGACTAACGTAATAACCTTGACGTCCCGTTGCGTGTAATAAGGTCGAATACAGCCCGTTAATTTGCGTATGGGTTCTGGAGCAAGCCATGACATCCAGCGAGTACTCCTGATCATTAAACGAATATGTGGTCATGTGTCTGTGTCTTTCAAAATGGCGGGAGAACGGAGATAGCACCTAGAGGTCATGATCCGGGATCCCGCCACGGGGGTCACGGGGGAGGTTAGGTTATTCTCGGGATTGAAGACTGAAACCGTGGTAGATGAAGAGAAATGCACGCGTCAAGTAAGATGTTCATTTTGGCTCGCAACCGTTTTAGCTGCGTCCGTCAGTTGTTGCTGGTCCCATCATCCTCTTCATCTTCACACCTCTCCTCACTATTTTTGGGTACTTCTGGCCATCGCCATGTGTTCACCTCTTTTCCGTTGCACTTGAAATCATGACCATTTGACATTGGTAGGATTTGGTCAACCATCTTCCCATGGCTGTCAGGGACGTCGTCACGAGTATATACTATACTGATAGGAAACAATCCAGCCCGAAGCTAAAAATACCAGTCCGGCGTGTTAGCCCGAAGCTAAAAATACTAATGCTAAACATACCAGTCCGGCGTGTTTATCGGGAACAGCCTATAGCCGAAGAAAGAGCGACTCATCATCATCAACAATACCGTTCGTCTTCGCAGGCCAAAGGATGGGAGGTACAGCGGTTACGATCGAACGATTTGGCGTCTATGCCAAGAACACAATACGTCGAAAAAGCCGCGGTGAGTTGAACGTTCCTGTATCTGTACAGGATGCTCGTCGAGTGGGGGTCCTGGTGTTTAGGGCCGATATATATAATATATATAGACTAGATTGTGTTGTTCTCCTGCTCAGCGCACGGTTGACGGAAGCAACATCTGTGATAGTCGATTGAGTGGAAACGCATTGCACTTGAGGACTCCTCCCAATTCACCATAAGCACTGGTCGAGGAACTGACTGTAAATGTTATGGAGTTGGTCATCGCCCAGGTGTACGTGTGCGGTAACAAAGGTAAGGACCTCTGCATGAGTTCGTGTTTTTTCGTCTCATCGGTCATTCCGCCTCACTAACCGGGGATGCACAGGACGGAGGAGGAAGGTACACGCAGGGAGAATTTTTCATTTGTCCATTTTCCTCACGCAGTGCGTACCTTCGGTTTTCAAACACGGGGAGGACTTGGCAGTAATGCCTTCGCTCGAACCCGCGACCTCGAACCTTACGAGGTCGCCAACTACACCACTCAAGCCACAGTTGTGTTACCGTGATCCACATGCGTCAACAAATATGGTGCGGTCTGCGTCCAATTTGGCGGTGCGGCGACAGCGCAGGTGAAGCAATCTTATTGCGGAGAACCCCGCCTTAGCCAGGGTCCCTGAATCGAGCGAATACCGCCTTAACGGGGCTTCCAAAGCAACAAGGCGGAAACTGCAGCGCATGGGGGGAAATGTGCGCGTTACGCTCACAGTTTAACCATGCACATCCAGCACAGCAGGATGTGCGATTGCGCAGGGACGAACTGTGATGAAGGAACGCAGCATTCAGATGTTACGTGAACATTATGAGTGCTGTGCCGCAGGGTGGACGTGGAGAGAAGGAAACGTAAAAAGGGTGCTACTCAATTGTGTGGTAGCCTGCTGAGCGAACTATTTATTTTTCTCGCCGTGCGTGAAACTCGCCAGCCCCCCCAAAACGAAACAAGGAAGCAGGGATGCTGTTGAGCTAGTTGCTGACAACCCATAAGAGAGCGCCCCTTTCGTGGTACCGGGGCGCGACGAGACTGCCGAGGGCAGAGCCCAGTACCATACACGAGATGCTGATTTGCCAGGTTCTTTGCGCACACAAAATATGCTGTAGGTGGGCTGGGCTGGGTGGCGGGAAACCTGATGACACTCCCCATCTTGCTGGGGTACGAGTATACAGTAGATTCGTGAGGGACATTATTTGACTTTGTAGGAATGCGTCTGTGGTGTGTTGATTTGAGACTCACAATTCAGGTTGATCGGTGGCTTGTCCTGCAAAAAAATCAAGAATTAAAGTTACATTAAATTACGTCCTTGCACTTATCTTTGTCCTTTTTCGTCATCTGGGAGCAATAGCAGTAAACTCAAGTAGTATGCATTTTCTCCTCGTCCCTCTTACAAAGTTTCTTTTAGTATGTTCTGCCCAGTTCTGTGTAGACTCTGTCTGACTGGACCAGGGAGGAACTTGTCATTTGAACGAGTGGTGCGGCTTGTTGTGGGTCCTTGTTTCCCTTCGCGCCTCTTTTTGAGCTAGCTTTTGGGGAAAATGTGAACTCTATTTGCGGAGTCTAAGAATCAGGAGGCACTGAATAGGTCAGACCGGTGTACAATGGAGGCAAAAATAGAGACTCTATTCTGCGGAGTCTAATAGATCAGGAGTAACTGAATAAGTCAGACCGGTGTACAATGGAATGGCGGCAACATCAACATCGAACAACACAGCATCAACAACAACAATAAGCAGAAAAAACATGATCATCATCAACAACAACGTACGCGCTTGCAAGCAAAATAGCGTACGAGTTTTCGCTGAGGTTGGTTGCACTTTATTCGAGCGGCTGCTGTACATGCTGCTACAATATACAGTACGGGCCGGCAGATAAGAAACGTCAAATTCGGGTCGAGCCTCAATACCTTATTTCGGGTCCAAGGACCAGCCGAAGTTGTCCGTTTTCTTAAAAAGCAGTACTTATTCCTTTGAAACATCGCATCCTCCAAACCCTTTTATTTCTCACTTCGTGTATGTTTTTATTTGGCGAAAGAATACAGCACAACAGATGGTTATCATGCCGCTTAACCAGGAAGAAAACTCGGTGTAGCCGTTGGTGAGGCGAAACAACCTCTCTCTCTCCCCCACCAAAAAAATTACTTTGTTCAGCGATCTAGGTAGGGGGGTGGGAGCGTGGGAACAAGGAAGGCGCAGCGGTGGGACGTTTCTTACTGGGCACGGTCCTCCAGCCACCTCTTGTTTCTTATGTGTTGGGGGTATCGCACCTCCATGTTTCTTATCGGGACGTTCAACGGCCGAGAGTGAGCGGGACTGCTGTATGTAGGCTGATACAGAGTGCTGCCGGACCGCCCGGGGCCGAACAAGTTTTGGGGATCTCGGAGAGTTCGTCGTACTGCACCGTCTCACTGAACACGGCGGCGACCGTATTTTATTCCGGGACAACAATACCATGAATCGCACGGTTCCCGCTGTAGTAGGGGGGATATCTACCACCGCCTCATTGCGGGACCATTCGTGTTTTCAACCTTTTTTTGTCGCATCTTTCAAGTTCCCGTCCCTTGTGCTGCTGCTGTAGCTGTCTATTGGGTGAGTTGTACACCTCGAGAGCACATGACTCGTACCTGCAATCAGAGAGTTCATCCACTTGGACAGCTTCTGAGCGATCCAGCAACGCTACCTCGCAGCGGCGGAGAGAGGTGAGGTCAAACGGCTGACCATCGATGTCACCCGGAAGCTTGCGCAAGATCTCGCCCTCTCTGAACGCAAGAGTCGACAAGATTTGCCGAGCCACGTGGCAAGCACGAACAGGGAGATCAAGGACGACAAAGGAGGTTAGAACGATCGACCTTTTTGCACTCAATGTGGCGAGGCAACTTTTGGGCGGTTAGGCTCGAGGTGTGTGTACGGCGGCCAGGGGTATCTTGCTGTTGTGGTAAACGGATGCCGATCAAGATACTTGTACGCACCCGGAAGTAACTCACCTGTCCTTAAAAGTGTACTGCGTGAGGAAGAGATACTTGCGATACTCGGCGCGATCGGTGAACTCAGTGCCGTCGGGTGCCCTCATGGGAGCAGCGACGGCTAGAACGCGGGGAGGAGAAGCGCCACCGGCGATTAAGGTGTAGTAGCGGCTGTCGTGCTAAAAGCGCGCGAGCCGATCCACAGACAGCATACACGCCGACAGATCGGGTTGCATCAGCCCACGCACGCATGCAAAGCTGACACTGGTGCCTCAGCTCCCGTTCAGTGCCCACGCATCCTCTATGTTATGTCGTACGTCGTTTAGGGGCGGGGGGCTGATCTAGGCGCGTTGTGGCGTTCTGTATATGTACTGCTGTTGTGTATGCCGTGCTGCCTCAACGCACACACAGATCTTGGGGGTCGGCGAAGTGTATCGATGGATCAACAGGGTATGTGTCTTCCACTCAATCATTCCACGGGGCATCTATGCCACCGCCGCTGCCCCTGCCAACACACGACACGCGCCACTTGAGTTGACCTCTCTCCCTGCGGGCTGTCTCTCCCCCATCGTCCCGACCATACAGCACAACAATGAACTTCGCCGTGAACCTCGTGGTGTTGGCGTTTGCCCTCTTGGCGGGATCGGCGTCCTCGTTTGTTCTCACCCCGAAGACAGCCCCGTCGTCTTTGGCATCATCCCCCACATCGTCCGCATCATGCAGCAAGACGGTGAGCGCACCACCCTCTCTGTCTTAGCCCAGACGGCAGCAGTAGAGAGACGACACCCAAGATGAGAAAACATCCTGCAGGAGCACATGCCTGTGTTTCTCGAGCCACCGAAGGTTCCGCGGTGAGCTATTTCATGCGTAGAGTACATGCACGCGATATGCCCCGCCGTCATGCTCTGCAGGTGTGCGATGTGGCAGGCACAGACGGGCCTCGAGCCGCAGTGGCAAAAGGGCGTTTTGCCTCTTCGTGTGAAGCGGGAGTGCCGAACAGAATACCTTGTCGAGAAGGAGGCGGTAGACAAAAAGGGAAACGATGGAGTTGGGTTGGTCTCATCGCGAACCCCTTGCGGGTTTGTTTGGCATGCCTGAAGTTGAACGTGTGGAGCAGCTGTGGTGAACCCGTTCAGGCCCAACCGCAACCTCCACCGCCAACCACAAGATTGGGCGCGGGAGGGTGGTGCAGGGTTTACGTTACTTTTGGCAAGACGGGTGTCTTCGATTAACCGATGGAAGGAAGTCTTTAACTACTAGACTATGCATACGTTCCTTAAAACAAAACAATTTTCGAGCAAGTGTTGAAATCATCGGATGCCAATCTCCAGAACTCAGAGTTGTTTCAGAATATGCTACCTCGGGAGAACACACAACACATTTCCCCGTGCAGCACCACACAGCAGCAGCCCGCGTGTTACCTGATTCCGGAACCAATGAGCACCGACCGTGGTTACCAGCAAAGCCGATGAACAGACGCCGTCAGTCTTACAGCGGAAAGAAACATGACCACAGCCTTAGTCACTCGATTACACAAGAGCAGGAACCGTTGCATTGCCGGACACGGCAAGGTGGACATGGTGGCGCGTCCTGCGGGTCCGGTTGTAGCGCTGCTTCATTGACTTGATTGACTCTTTCGTGACGCGTGCAACCTAATCCGTTGAAGCACGCCGCCACCTAAGCAATCATCGCCACGCCCTTTGGCAGTCCTTGCGAGCATCGATGGACGGGGAGAACCTCCTGCCGAACGCTGCGGAAATCATGGACGAGATGGCGGGAGAAGCCAAGTGAGTTGTCTGGCGTGCACGAATAGGCCTGCTTTTTTGCTCTTGGTTAACGTTGCGCTCGTTTCGTCGTATGCCCGACGATAGAGCTATGCCACACAGCGACCCGGACACAAATGTGATGTGCGCTGAACGAAGAGGAAAGCCAGCAGTCAGCAGAGGAATAGTTTTTGGGTTGAAGCAAGATATGTGGATCAATCCGGCTTGCGAAATTGGCAAATAGATTACCTGCGTCGTCGACGTACCATGCTAGCTGTCACAAGAGATAATATAGTGACTGATCAGCTTTTTAAGTGTAAAGAAACACGGAGCTTCAGATACGTTCGTGGACCAATCGCGCCGATGGACAAAGTAAGAATCGTCCAGATCTTGCGGGACGTACTTCCGCTTCTACCGTACAGGTCATGTGGCAGCCGATACGGGTTTCGTTTCTGTGTGGATGCCCACATGATACTGTCGAAACTTTCTGAAACCATCCGTAGATGCGGTTCGCCAAGCCGACGGAGGGAGTTCACACGATCATACTTTTCTGGCTTGGACACCTGCGTAGATGACGCTTCGTTGTTCATTTGGTGTTCGCGATGCTTGTGTTCCCCACCTTAGACTCAAGCATGTGTCATGTCCCGTTTCCCTGACAGCGCATAAGATATATGACGTGTATACCGTACCGTTCACTCACTGTGTCACACCTAGATTATGCCATCACGATGTCGCCTTTAGTGCAGTGTATATCTATTTCTCATCAAGCACGAGTTACATCCACCCTCGTGAATGCTGGTGGTGGATAGTGGTCCACCGTCGTGTGCTGGGCAGACAAATTACATGCTCTTTTCCCACGGCCACACCTCCCGCGCCGCCGCCCGCCCCACCCGCCCGCTCGCACGACGTTGGACGAGAGCAGGGACGTTATCGAACGCCTTGTCAAGGAGAACAAGGTAATGCTCTTCATGAAGGGCAACAAGATGTTTCCGCAGTGCGGCTTCTCCAACAGCGCTGTTCAGGTATGTCGTCTTCTTCGGGCTTTCTTGTAGGCGGACGTGAGGCCGCCACCGCCAGCAATTTGGAAACAGCAATAGCAAAAGCTCTCGTCAACGCCCGTTGCAGCCACGCTTTCAGTCAGGACCGCGATAGGGAAAAGGGTTATGGCATCGAGACCGGGCTACTTCTATGTTTCTTCCTTCGGAGCGGGGGGCAAGTGTTGTGTCTGCTGAGTATCAGCCCGATTTTGCTGTCGAAACCGCCACCGTCAGTCTCCCGCTCTCTCTTTTTCCTTTCTCTCCCTCCTCGCTCCCTCTCTCTCTCACGCGTACACACGCACACGCACACACGGAGCATCACGTTACCTGTCATTGAAACGCGTATATCCATCAAGTGGACATTAATTCGAAACCTTCACCTGCCTCGCCCTCCGGGTGTCCATATCCCGCGTGGTTTACCGCCTCTTCCACCGTGCCCGCTTCGCTGGGATGCGGAGCTCATGGTTGTACACTACGCCCGATTGGCATGAAACGAACCCGAGACCCTGAACAGCAAGTGCACATGAATAGTGTGGCAGACTCATGGACATTGAAGTCATCAGAATGTTATCGGCAGTGTCATGAGATGGAGCGATATTCTGTCTCGCATTGCAGAAGTGAAATCCAATCAATGGCCAAGAGGCTGGGGCAAGCAATCGATTGATCCCCCGCGCGCACACGGCTGTTGTCCACACGCGCACGCACCGCAGGTGCTCCGGGCTTGCGACGTAGAGTTCGAAACGTACGACGTGCTCACCAACCCTGGGGTGCGCGAGGCAGTCAAGGTAAGCTCTTGGATGTACGACTGGGAACCAGTGGGATACATCCCCCTACGATGCCGTGCTCTCCCTGAAACGTTGAAAACAAGAAGGCGACCTTTGACGTCTGTAGTGTTTTCGCTTTCGGCCATGTTAAGGTTTCGTTGCCTGGCGTGTTGCACCCACCACCACCGATGTTTGATTTTCACACCCGGTACACGTACTGCTTGAATCTCGTGTCGGGAGAAACGGCCGCGCAACTCTTCACCTAGGAGTTTCAGTGTCGCACCGTCGGAACACCTGGCCCCCCATCAACCTCCCCCATGTGTACCTCGTCGTGTTTCCATGTAATTTGTTTCTTTTTTCTTCATTGCTAATTATTTTCGTGAAATGCAGGAGAAACTCTCGATGTGAGGACTAGTTCCCACCACTTCATTTGGGAGTTATGCCCTGCTGCTGTTCATGATCGCACACCGAAATTCGAGTACCATAGTTACGCGTTTCGTCAGAGCGGGGTGTGTAGACGTCTTGACTTAGCAGCAATGCCAATTTCGATGTGAAACCCAGTGTCAATTCTAACAAATACAGCCACCGACACGCATCCACGACTCCGAAAATCTCAGGAGTACTCCAGCTGGCCGACAATCCCGCAGCTGTACGTCGACGGAGAGTTCACCGGGGGCGCGGACATCATGATCGAGTCTTTTCAGTCTGGAGAACTCAAGAAGACCCTCGAAGACGCAGGGTGCACGTTCGTACCATCAGAGTAAATTCGATCTTCTGTCTATGATGCGTCGCGTTTCGAAAGTTTTGAGAGAATATTCATTGCATAGCCCAATTAGTTACTGCAAGACGGCAGTGGAAACGAATGGAAAATTTGAAGGCGTTCTTTCCAAGCGGTGGGTCAGCATATAAAAAATCGAGATTATGGGGTTTTGGTTCTCCTTGTTTCGCATAAGACACACATGGCGGCAAGAAGTACTTTGTGTAATACCGGGTTGTCCATAAGAACGTGTTGAAAAGCATGTAGCGGGCGGGTGGTCATGACGATGATTTGGGTATTGCCGGCCCGACGAACTCAATTGTATGATGAGTTGTGTGAAGACGCGCGAATTTTCGCGTGGTAGCAACGGGGTGCAGAAAAGCTCCACGTTGCGCAACAGAGGACTCTCCTGAGGGTTGTTGAAATCAGGTCTGGTGGGCTAACTTTTCGTCAACCTAAAAACGAGTTACTCCGTTCTACTTACGGGCGTTTATTTTTTGTGAGGCGTGCTCACCATTGCCAGCGAAGACTTTGGGGGAAGACGAAAAAGACAGACACCTGGGTGATGCAAATTGCTTCGTGGCCCGTATTAAGCTCTGAAAGTTTACACCGGCCGTACGCGAGGTTGATACCCGGCCACACGTCGGAAGTCCAGCCACCGCTGTGGACATTCACCCACAAGGCATGGCACTGGTGGTCTGGTTGGTTCGAACCCTTCCCCCGTCAATCTTCGCTACTTAGCCGATCGGTCGGAGAGGATCGAGGGGGCGATCGACCCTGTTGGACGGGGAATAAAGGACCGCCAGCACACCGCTCTCGGCGATGATTACATGGCACGAGCTTCCTTGTGCCGGTCCGGTGAGACCATGGGAGAGGGGGGGGGGTCCAGGCAGCGAATGCAAGTTGGCATTGCAGTAAATCTCTCGGCAGATCCGTACGGGCGTCTTGTTGATGGTGACTGGGCAGGTGCGGAGAGACTGGGGATATGTGCATCACCAAACCGCCCCCTCGAGAACCAAATGATGCCCAAGAACACCTTCTGTGGTCTCGAAAAAAGAAAAAAAGTGGGCACGCCGTCAGGAGTCTCCGTGCTAGGCGAAAACTGGGCAGGAACCCGCAGAGTGTGCGTGCTCCTCGTGCCACCCTTGACCGCTCATGTACCAGCGGGCTGTGCAGGTTGCCTACTATGACAAAAGACGTTGGGGACGCGTTTCTTTTTTTGTGGTCTACAGAGGCTGTACCAGCAGGAGCGAATTCACTAGCTCCCAAAACAGCAGTGAGCGCTTCCGGCCGAAAACGATCCTGGCGCAAAGAACTCATGCTCCCGCCAAACAGCGAACGGGTTTTTTGTCGTCGTCACTTTAAAAGTCAGGACTCGTGGCATTTTTCTGTCAGGTACTGTACGTGCTCCGATTCATGGTCACACCAAGATAAAAAAAGCAAAAGTCCCGCCCAACATCGTCGTCACGCGGTGAGCTTGAGCGAAAAGAAGGCTCTGCTGTCGTGTGTTTTGTGTTTTATCGTCGCTCCTCCCGAGCCAGTTTTACCAAGAACCCTGGTTGCCCTCTCACCAGGCCGCTCAGCATCGCCCGCCAGAAGTGTTGCCGTGAGAGCGAGAGCCGGCGACCCTCAAAAAACGTCACACATTACATCTCCGCAAACACGCTTTGTTGGTTCAGACCATCTACGAAAACACTACGAAATGTAGACCCACATCCGTTCGGGGCAATCCCCCCAGCGCGAAGTGACTGGGGGTTTCTCTCTGCTCATGAAATACCAAGCCGTTTTTGTCTCTTGGTGGTAACGTCACCCTCCCTGCACCCGGGCAGGACGCGCACTAGCCTCTCGTCGAGAAACCTGAAACTCGATTCATTTGGGGAAAAGCAACCGTGGCGCATACAGAAACGATAGCGAACGTTTTGTTCGTTGGTACTATTACCAGAATCTCCACCATCGTCGCCTCGGCGTCCCCCCCTCCTCCTCAACCGCCAGCTTCTGCGACGGGATGGTCTTCGACCCCCAGCCTGGTGGTCGCTCGTTCTCGGCCAACGGAGAGATTGTTGTTGTCGTTGTCGCCGGTGCCGTCTGAGAGGAGGAAGTGCCGGCAGGCTTGGAGACGAAGCCGAACTCCTCGATGTCCTTGGTCGTGGCGTGCCGACGCTTGGCGCTGTAGTGGGACCCTTTCCCCTTGTTGAGGAGGTCTCGCATGCGTTCCTCCTTAAAGGCGGCGGGGGGGTGCGCAGCCGTTTCAATCACGAAAACAAGTAGCATAATTGGGCTTACTTGTTCGAAATGGTTCTGGGATCGGAGAGAAGTCAACCGATTCGCGGGGAAAAACAAGCGCAAAAGTGACCATACCCCCTCTGTACAGGACCAACACCTGTGATGCGGTGGTTGCTTCGACGTCGTTGGCGTGCGAGTTGAACTCTAAACCGCGATGGGTGCACTCCGAGAAGCTGGTGGCGAGGGGAGTCACCCTCCTTTGATTGAAAGCGTCGGTCATCCGGACCTCACCGCACGGCCTTATAATGCAACTTCAGAAACCTTAGTCCAGCCCTAGCCAGCGCCTGCGAGTCTAATGGGGTGGTTCTTCAGGAGCACGCAATTATACATATTGAATTTTCTTAGTCTGAGCAAGCAGCAGCGGCGCCGCCATCCGCGCCCGTGACGTTGAGGCCTCATAGCCTCTCTCACCTCTCTGGGGTCGTTGTTGTTGACCCGTTTGAAGAACTCCTTCATTCGGTCGTCCACTTCACGGCGGCCACGGACCACCTGTCGCCCAAAAGAAACAGAAAACAAAAAAGCAGTCGCCGAGTCTGTGCCTTGTGCGTTTCCTTCTTGACTGTTACTCATGTATTTGCAAAAAAGAATGGGGAGGCCTTCGTCGAATGACGTTGCTCTAGGCCCTCCCGAATCCCTTATCTTTCGGTGCCCGGAAGAAGTTCCCACAATGCATCGACGCTGTTTTCAGCACTAGGTTTCGTCGTTGCGTGGGGTAGTAATGTTCGCCGGCCACAGGAAACACGCTCTGCAAGCAAGGCAATACTTGGCTTGTCACAATGTCGCTTTTAACCATCCCTTAAAATCGTTGCACCGCGTTGGAAAAGTGACCCCGGCGATATTGGATCCCATCCCCGTAGTCGCCTCGTCTGCGTGCCTGCATTGTCGCGGGGTGGGGTGGGGAGGGGGGAAAGGTGCGCACTCTTTCCGGCTTGCAAGTTCGGCTTCCACCATAACTGAGCTCTTTGCCACGACCCGCTCGAGGTCTGGTTCTCAGTACAATGATCACACACCGTCATTGCTTTCGCGAAACACTCGCCCCCTGTCGCAACAAACGCTTCACTGCTCGAAGTGTCCAAACAAATGCCTACAGCTAGCGACTGAACCTAAGAACCTCTAGAAATGGCCGAGGGTGGGGCTCTTAGTTCCTGCAGTGACATGCTACACTGCCTGCTAGATAGGTTTTAGTGTAGAGGTTCTTAACCGCGCTCACCCACGGTGCTTAAGTTATTATATCTTGCATTTTGTACAATGACCGCTATATAGGTTATAGTGCAGAGGTTCTTAACCGCGCTTACCCACGGTGCTTCAAGTCCTTATATCTTGCATATTCGAGGCTCAATTTCTTGGCTGCCCAGTTCGTCAGTGCGGGCGCTATCATAGCTGTATGCGTGACTCCGCGTCAAAAACGCGTCCCAAAAAGCCCCCTCGTACAAGCGCAGCAACCGCGTGGCCGGCCGGCCATGCGCTCGCGCCGAAGATTGGTGGTAACCGTAAGCCTACAAGTCAGCGGCATCCACGAAGCGAAAAACTCACGTCGGGAAACTCCTTGCCGATGTTGCTGTTGAGCTCGTCTTCGGAAGGCTTGTCCAAGGAAAAGTAGTACACGATGCCGCCGATGAGACACAGCGACGCCGGCGACACCAATGCCGCGGGCACCCTGAATCGTGGCACTCTCGGCTCCGGCATCGTCCTCTCCCACCCGTCGTTCCTTCCCCCCCTACTCTCCCCCTCCGCCCAAAAAAAACTTCCTGAGAATTGCCGAACAGATGCGTCTGGCAACGCTGTGCGGCACGTCTGCTGCTGGACGTAATCAACCCAGTGTTCGTTGTCTTTTTATTTCCGCGTGACTTGTTGACCTCTGCCTGGCTTTCTTCGTATGGAACAAGCACCAGTCGGGGCAGGGCACTTGGTCAGAAACTTGTTTGTGCTAAAAAAGGAGCGGCGAAGAGGGCTGCTGCGTGATGGGGGTGATGCGCAACGGGGTAGCTCTGGACGTCTCTACCGCCGGTGGGTCGGTAACTGGCTCTAATCTTGACCGTTCCATTGCCTACGGCATTGGATCACAGCAAGTCTCCGTGAGAGCAGCAGTGTAGCACCAACTACTGTAGTTTGCAAAAGACCATATGAAAATCAATACGGCAGACAGCTAGACTACACTGCTGTTGCGGTAGTGGTTGAGTGCTTTCGCTCAACGACGAGGGAGAAGGTGGAGCAGTTGCAAGCACTTACGATAACAATGAAGTGGCACTCTTGTTGGGGTCCCTGATGCTGTATCAGTGAAGTTTGGGTTGTGTGTCGGAATGTCGGTGTGCCCCGTTGGCACAGCCGTGGGTCAGGCAAACAACGCCATGTCGCTATCATAGTAATAGTGTCGCTGCCAGCAACGTCAAAAACAAGAGAAAACCCCGCAACTGCATGTTTTACAAGCTCACTGAATGACAGACACGACATGATACCAATAACGTTTAGCGCTTCTTCGCTTACAAGAAAACATACCCAGCAGGCAGTCGTTGCAGTCCAGTAGTGCAGCACAAAAATATCCCTACCAATCACTGGTCAAGGTCGGGACTTGTGGTTGGTAGGTAGTCAGAGCCAACTTCAGACCGAGTTTCGTCGGCTGAGTCACGAGGTCACGAGGTCATGAGCACACTCCCACATTGCGTGTTGATTGTCCTGTTGTTGTACGGCGTGAGACACACAGCTTGACTCGTACAGAAAGTACACACAACGTTTGTTCAGCAAACGCTTGGATTTCATGCTAGAGAAGGAGCGGAATGACGCACAGATTTTTCGTCCCACATACCTCCCTTGCTCTTACCAGCTTGAGCACCTCGCCCACCGCACTGAACACGTCGCGGGCGGCGATTGGTGCGGGGCACAACAACTAGGAAGTGCGGGAAAATTTTGGTACCAGGGCACCGCGTGCGATTTCCGGTCTGAAAAACCCCGTGCCTTGTCTCGCTTCTGTGCGGCGTCGAACAAACCAACAGGCAAGCAGGCGTGCGCGAGAGGGAGAGAAACGGAGCCAGGAAGGAGGTAACGCCACGTATCTTGGCAGTGCTTGCAAAGGGGTCACCGCCGAGTTGCGTCTGCTGCAGGCTGTAATAAAAGGGCACGAAAAGGAGCTGCAGCTGAAGAATTCTTGGCACACAGAGAGACAGGCACAAACCTTGCTGGTGGGGTTTAGGAACAAAAGCCGCAAGACGGCCCGCACGCCCTGACGGAGAGAGGGGAGAGCTATCACGGAAAGGGCAAACTGCCGGAGTCCAGCCGTAAGCTGCGTGGGGCATTGATTCCCGGCTCTGATACCGAGGTCAGCTTTTTTTTTTATCCGCGTGTTGGTGAGGATCCCGGCAGCAGCGAGTGGGGGCGTTGTTGTTGGGAACGGACTTCCAGGGTGCTGCGTGTAAGCCAAGGCTGAGGCTCCCATGACGTTGCACTCAGCGAAGGGCGGTTGTGCTAAGGTGGAATGTCGGCAGCGCATATTAATACAGTCCCGAGTAGATAGTAACAGGCCGCCAACTCTTGAAGATGAAACCTTCATGTATGTCTGTTTTCGTGGCCACAACCCCTAGGAACACGTGATTGCTAGGTCGTCGAACCGTCATGTGTGCTTCATGAACATAGCGCTAACAAGACAGCCAGTCCCTCGTGTGTGTTTGGAGGAAAACCTTCCCGTAGCAGCTTATTCTTTCGTCGAAGTCGAGGGTCCTAGTAAATACAGCATACAAGGGCCTGGACAATCAAAATGCCCAAGAGTTGTTGTTTGGTGTCGGCACGGTTATGTACTATTGCTGTAGACCTATCGTCTCGTCGTCGTACAACTGTACATCGCATGCATAGTGTTCGCCATTGCAGTTGCCTCACGCGAGCAAGAACAAATAAGGCCAACAAGCTGGAGATGAGATTCCTTCGCCCGGTTGCTTAGCTTGACCGATACATCTCCGTGTCCAACGTTTTTTTACTCGCCGCATATATATTCTGCTGTAGCAATGCTGTGGTTTTTCACAAATATGTTTCACGTATTAGTTTACCCGACGAGACAGTGAGCGTCCCGCGTGCTGCTTCTCTCGGACAAATTTGGGAGCACAACATGCATGGAGAGGGAGAACCTGATGGGGCAGGAAATGTGTGCCAGTCGTTGGTCGCCGACCATGATTCTAGTAGGCAGCAGACAGATCCGAGACCCGACGGGGCTTGCTGCTATTGCGTCACGTGCGAAATCCGAACAAAGCAGCCACAGTCACCGGTCGCCCCGGTGGTCTAGTTGGTATCCTCGAAACCTTCTAGAGGTTAGGTCAGGGGTTCGAATCCCAGCGTAAGCGAGCTTTTCTTGCAAGGTGAGTGCATCTCTCGCTTGCGCTCCTGGCCTAGAGGATAGCGCTAGTTCGTGTGTACACAGAGGGAAGAGAGTACTGAACTCTGCTCGCATTAAAAATCGAAGGTAAAGTACCGCAGGAAGGGAGGGTAAAGAGTGGCTCTTCTGTGTGACCACGGGTTGGAGTAAACGGCACTTCATATGCTGTGAGCGCTTATTTGGAGTGAAGACAAAATAAAATAGTAGTAGTTTCGAGCACTACTTCAGGCATGACAAGGGCCCTCAGTAGTTCCGGTTGAAGAGGTAGTGCCTGCAGCCGGTGTAGCTAGTGCCGGTGCTTTTGGCGGGCAAAGCAGACTGATCAGCAAGTCATGCAGTACTTTGAATAGTGCCGACCCCTCTGAATGGTGCCATTGTTCTGGTCTGGTTCTTACCGGCGCTACAGAGGGCCCCCGACTGCGACGGAGATACGTGACACATACGCTGGTACTCGGAGAAGCGTATTCCTCCGCCCCGAGCTAGACTGTATTCCCCTTAATTAGTTCCGCCTCATGTGGATCGGCTGGTGTCTGCTTTGAGGCTCCCTCTTTGACTACGAAGACTGTAGATAGTCGAGGGCATTCCCCGCGGGGATTATGCATGTGCAGGTCGTGATTTTGTTCTCGCAGTTGCGAAGCTTGTTCGAACGTGACAGATTCCTTCTCAGATCGATGTTCTCTTCGTAGCAGGCGAAGCTTGAGGTGTATGAAGTTGACCGATCCCTTCTTAAATATCCTGTTCAGGCTTGGTTTTTCAGACGAGTGTTGAGAACACTTCGTTCTCGGCCTAGCTGCGAGAAATGCTCGCCTTGCGCCCACACAAATTTGTACAACCATGAGGTCGACTGCGCCGTCAGCAGACGAGGAAAACGAACAGGATAATCGTTCTCACGGCAAAAGCAAATGCGGCATTCGTGCCTGAAGGAAGCTGGCAACAAGCAAAAACAATGCATTAGGTCTTCTTCCTTTCTGTTGCGTCGCCCCCGGCTGGCTCAACACTTAACCAATCAATAAGTGGGATGACTACAACACCTCGCACTTCGACGCCAGATGAAAACCCTCTCGTACAGTAATTCAGCCAGTACAAACCACGAAAGCCCAGTTTTTTGGTCCCTCTCCTGTCCATGCGTGAATGTCCCCTTTACGCCAAGCTTGCTTGGAGGTGAATGCCAGAGCCTGGTGGGCACAGGAATAGCAGAGGACACCGAGGTTTTGTAGGTGGTGCAAGAGGGGACTTGTTCGTCTCGGCTTTTTGTGAAGACGTCGGCCATGCAGTTCATCATACCAAAAAGTGGCTGCGAGTGCGCTTCTTGTCTCGTCATTGTCTACACACATCCCGGGTCGCTTCGAGAGGGCGGTTACAACCTCCACCACCCCGAAAAAGAGCCAACCGGTTTGGCGGGGTCATCTTGTTGGCCGCTCTTAAAACCCTCCTCTCTCTCTCTCTCTCTCTCTCTCTCTCTCTCTCTCCACGTGTGCAATCGCGCGCCGCAGAAGAGACGAGGGCAAGCTAACCGCAAAGACACCATGGGCATCGTCCTGAGCCGAGTCTTCCAGGCGCTGTTCGGGTCAAAGGAAGTCCGCATCCTTATCCTCGGTCTGGACAACGCGGGAAAGACGACGATCCTGTACCGCCTGCAGAACGAAGCCGACGACAACATCCAGACCATCCCAACGATCGGCTTCAACGTCGAGACCCTACAGTACAAGAATATTAAGTTTCAGGTGTGTGTGTGTGTGTGTGTGTGTTTGTGTTTGGGAGGTATGCTAGGCCTTGCAGAGGCCCCAGCTGCTGGTTTTTCTGCTGCCTCTCTGCCTCATGGCGGGCGACGTTCTTCTCCCTGGTGGATATTTTTTTTGTTTTCCTCCGATTTCGTGTCGTATCATGTCTTTCTGTCTCTCTCGCTTCTGAGGCACACGTTTGGTTTTGGGTGTCTCGAGTCGAAGTGTGTGACAGGGTTAAGCTGGTGACTTTCGTTTCCCCTCTTCACACCGACACCGAGTATCACAGCAGGGCAAGCATGTTGTGGACCTAGGAGTGCCACGTCTTGTGTGCACTACCCCCAAGCCGATGCCTGTCTCTTCCGAGTCTGGCGTTAACAGAAGGACCTGACCTAACGCAACTGCTATTGCACGGCTACAACAACCACCACAATGCACAGCGATCAACGAATCCGCTTTTCTTGCATGCGGCACGTTTGCCCCACCAGATTGTCGAGGACGGTGTGGTATCTGGGTGGTACACAGGCACCCACCGGCCATGTCCCCCCTGTCGGCACGACCACCCACCCCGAAACCTTTTTGCCCGGGCTCCTCGTACCCACCCCTGTCGTCTGCACGAACCACGGCGTAGGTGTGGGATCTG